AATCATATTTTATGCAGATTTGGCTTTCAAATGATACATTATGCAGATTATACCATGACATCGTGAGTAGTCAATATACAGTACTTCATTTTTTAACAGAAAACAGCGCGCGCACTCTCTAAATATATATTATATAACGTTCCTACTATTGACAAATCTCATATTTCTATACAAACTGATTATTGTGGACCCAAAGACAACAAATGTGACGTGTTGTTGTTTTAAAAGGTCAAGAAACAAAGCAAGATTCTTGAATACACATTATATGTAACGTTAGCAAATATAAATATTGACCTGCAGCGAAATGCAGAGGGGTTGATTTTCGTCCGGCCATGTCTTTGGCGTTCACATTCACCGAGTCCACCAGCCTCTTCACCCGCGACACATCTCCGTTCCGACAGGCCTCAAATAGCTCTCTGAACGCCCCGCCAGCCCCGCACACTCCTTCCCCGGGACTGGTCGCTCCCGAGCCGGGGCTCTGGCTGCCTGCGGTGGCGCTTGAACTAATGCTGCTGCAGCTGGAGCTCGCGGGTGCTGTCGACGCTGCGGCGGCTACTGCTGTTACTGGGGAGGGCCGGTCCGGGGAAGAGGCGGAGGAGGAGGAGGCCGCTGCGGACTCCATCGTCGCTCCGTCGCATTCCGCTGCGACAGTAGATGAGGGGCTCAACAAACTCGTCGATTCGGGAATAATCGCGGACGGGGGTTCGGGAGGGGGGGACGCGATCAAGGCGTTCCGCGGAGACGGCTGCAGGCTGCTTTGTTGGTGCTGCGAGGATCGACGGGACACCGCCATTTTCCCCCCGAAGCTCCGTCTGTCAACAATAACAGCTGGAGCCGCTGCGCTTCCGCTCAGTGCGAGGAGGCTTCCGGTTGGAGACACTTCTGATGCACTGCTATTAAATGCCTTCATTACTTTTACTACACAGTCAAATTAATTATAATCATAATTCATATTAAAGTATCTATCTATCTATCTATCTATCTATCTATCTATCTATCTATCTATCTATCTATCTATCTATCTATCTATGTCTATATATATGTATGTCAATAATAACCCTGAGGGGATTTAATTTACAGTAATTTTGTAATATCCATCCATCCATCCATCCATCCATCCATCCATCCATCCATCCATCCATCCATCCATCTATCTATCTATCTATCTATCTATCTATCTATCTATCTATCTATCTATCTATCTATCTATCTGTCTGTCTGTCTGTCTGTATGTCTATCTATCTATCATTAATAACCCTGATGGGGATTTAATTTACAGTAATGTTGTAATAAATGACTATCTATCTATACTATCTATCAGTTTATCAAACTATCTATCCATCCATCCATCCACCCATCTATCATTTCCTTTAAACTAGGTGTCTGACAAATGGTTGTGGAAAATAAAAACAATGTTCCTCTCAAACTTTTGCCTCAGTGTGAGATGATCTTCTGCCTTTAGTCACACTTTGTGGACATTCAAACGGTTCTGTTATATGGGGCCCTGTTACTATGGAAACTACAACAAAAACCATCTGTTGCACTAAAACAAGGACCAGCAGGTTGTTTTAACAATTTATATATTTATATATATTGCATTTTACCAATTTATATATTAGTTCAGGGCCAGCTTGTGTGCTGTGGGCTGGTTGGTCAGGGTGTAAACGAATATACACATTGTGTGTATTGTATTGTGTTGCTGGAGAGATGCCCCATTCCCCTCGTGCCACAGATGCGAATGGTGGGAAGCAAGATTCCTATTTGAAGGAGTGAGTTCAGCTTATACACACTTTTTTTAACGCATTAACCATTTTTTTCATTATAAATAAATTTGTCAGACTAGACTGGTTCTGTAAACAAAATTCTGCCCATTCACAGGTATTACAAAAGCCTTCCTGAAGAAAAAAGATTGATGCTGGAGAAGTCTTTGATGGTATGTTACCAATATTAAAGAAATAATTCAGACAAAAGATATTATTCTGTTATCATTTGAATTGAATGATGAGGACTGAAGCTGTCACGTGCCAATATGAGTCGTTTGAGTTACTTTTATTAAAGTCTTTTCATTTTTGGAGCTCGACAGCCTCAGTCTCTCCTCATATGGACACGGACACTTGGGAAAATAAATCATACAGATTAGGGAGAGTAAATTAACTGATGACAGGGTTTTTAGTTTTGGATTCATATATTTTGATAATGTGTGTGTGTGTTGTGCAATTATAATGACCATGTCTTCCTCACCCAGAATGCAGTTAATGACCAAGCACCAGCGAAGGGGCATGTGGGTGGTTCCACACAAGGTAATATATTAAAAACATATTGAGATTCAGCTAAATTAAACAAAAATGTATCCTAAACTGATCAGATGTTTGTAATGTTGATGTATTTTTCTGTTTGTGTAGTTCCTGATCCACAAAAAGGAGCTAATAAACACAAGAATGAGGCAGATGCTAAAGAAGAGCCTTCGTCCAAAAAATCCTCCACATGCATTGTGTTATAATAACATCACTGGTAATCTTTTGCCAGTCATAATCATTTCAGCGCATTAAACTTGCTGGGAAATGCATATGTACATGCCATATGTTGTATTAGCAGTATTATTTTTTATTTCTTAAATACTGTTTATTTTTTTTCCCTGAATATTTTCCTCTATTTAATAAGACTTTTTTTTACAACTGATTGTGATGAAATTAAATCTGCATTACTGGTACATTTTCCATTGCATTAACCAACATGATTCATCATCATTTCATAAGTGCAGGTTTGACAATAATTATTATGCATGAAAAATTCTGTCTGAATTTATATTTCATTTCCAATCAAGACTGAATGAGTGTTTTAAAGTTACATTCTGCGTGCAACAAGGGGGCAGGACTAGCAGATTCAATGCAACCACAGTATATACAAAGAAATATGATGCTTTGTTGTCATTGTATTTGACTGCTCACACAGAGAAAGTGATACAAATAAGAGCAAATGGAGCAGATCAGTGTTCATAAAACACAGCCAGACACCAACACCTATATAAGTTGTGAAAGAGAAACTAAATTCAGGATCGCGTACAGGATCGCATTACCATTATGCGTCCTGATCAATGTGACTGGCTATCAAGATAAATAAATCACTTATGTAAAGTTAATTAGTTACATTTGGTTATCCGTTCGGAAATTTGCAAACAATTTTTATAGAAACTATGTATAGGCTCAACCTACTAAATTAATAATTGATTAACTATTAAATTCATTTGGATTAAACCGAACGAGTAGAGATGCAAATCAAAAGGTTTATTGTAAGAGGAGAGCTTTATGAATAAATGAGACACTTAGTGAAAAGGATACTTTGTGATTATATTTTGTGTATTATATCAACACAATTGAAAATATGTTGAAATTTAATTGCATTTATACGATTTTTCGAACAGCAGGAGGCGCTGTCTCGAAAAAACGAGGGGCCTGAGAAAGCGGGACTCTGGGTGGGGACTGTAGATGCAGGCTCTGATTCTACAGCTTCATAATATTGATTGCCAAAGCAATTGATAGAAACTACAATTATGAGTAATATTTTCTCAAGTATACATAGATGTGATTTACCTGATCACAAGCAGGAAAAAAAAAATCACATTTTGTTTTTTGAGTTTTTGAGGAATTTCCATGAATTTTATTGTAATTTTTGATGCTCATATATGTATTTAAAAAGAAACTTTTTACAAAGATTGCTCTCACAAAGAACAACATCTAACAAATGAAATAATTTACAGCTGAGCATAACTAGAATGTTTTTAATTATATAATAAAAATCTATTTCACAAATTACCACCAATCTGACCTTTAGTTCCAGCATGACTGTGGAGATCCCAGCATATAATCATGATAGTAGACATATCTGACAAGAACAAAACTTAGAAAAAGCACAAAAGTTTATTTGAGAAATAAATTAGCATACACTGAACTGAATATTAACCCCAATCATGCATTTACAATTTTATCCTTTTTACATATTTTACACAAAAAGCTTTTTCACCCAAATAAAACTCATATGACACTGGGATCTATAGCATTTGCAATAAAAAAAATGTATTTCCATTTATTTTTAAACTTAATTTATTAACATATTTAAACTGTATTATAGCAGCAGTATAAAAGTCCCCCCTGTTCGTTTATCAACAAGTCACATATTTCCAGTGATTGGTGACTGAGAATATGAAGCCCTTTGTTCATTGGTGTGTGTGTGTGTGTGTGTGTGTGTGTGTTCAGTCGCTGCTGTCATCGCCCACTACCATGTGGCTGTACTTCTTCTGCTGTTGTTCCTTGAGCTCATCCTTCACCTTTGCCCTCTTCAGACCGCCATCCCTGTGACACACACAGTCATAAACCTTTACAGAGGACCTATTATGGTTTTTTATGTTTTATTTTGACATTTTTAACTTCCTTGAGTGTGTAATGTTGCCGTTTGAGCATGAAAAAAGTTGTTCTCTATTTCAGTGTCACTGTTTCCTGAAGTTTACTTCAAGAAACAAAAACACATTGTGTTTTTAGAAAGGATAGGCTTCATAGGGACAGGAACTAAAGATAGCATTACAGACAGACTGGAAAGAGAGGTGCTGCAAGAATGTAAATATTGTATTTTGAACATTCAAGCATGAAAACCTATATAGTAGACTACAAAATTAAGGCTTAAAGACAGAATATAGCTTATTTAACTTATATTAACCCTCAGGTGCTCTTCGTTTCGGAGTCACACTTGTTATCCTCCCGGTCAAAAGTGACCGGACACCTAAAATTTAAATTTCCTCCATCCCAGTAAAACCAATGCAATTTATTTTTGTTCTATAATATTTATTCTTTGTAATTTAGTATTTTGAGTTAAATTTATTGAATTTATTAATATTTATGCAATATTTATGGTCTATTTTGCAATGGAAAAATTTATATATTTTATATTATTTTTTTCAAAAAATTATTAATGCAGTATTTTAGTTTAATATAGTCTAGGCCTTCAGAAAAAAAAATTGAAGAAAATTATCACCATCTGGTTACAGTATAGAGAAAAAGCGTAGAAACATGGTGTAACCACTAGATGGCATGTACAGCTCTCTATGGAGAAGCATGTGAATTCCCTAGATGTGTATGAACACATTTTTTGTTGTTTTTTGGTGGATTTGAATATATTGTTGAAACAATCTCAAAAACGATTTTTTATTAAGAAAATGTAAAAAAAATAATAAAAAAATTGTGATTTTTTGTGTTTTTGTCAATTTCCCATTCATTTCCTATGGGGGTCATTTCTGACCAAAGACCACAAGTGTGACTATTTTTTTAAGACCACTTAGCATGCTCAGATCATGACCTCAATTTTTTTGTGTGTTCACATACATAATGCCATAAAAGTCACGAAGTTTCGTAACATTCCGATGAAGCTGTGATTTTTTAAAATTCAAAACATACTTTTTAGAATCAAAATGTATTGGTGTGTATGTGTATAAAAGTGTGTTTGTATGTGTGTGTGTGTGGGTGGGTTTGTCTGTTTTGCACTCTAGATGTTGTAGAGTGTCACCCCTTTCCTCCGGTGTACTTTTTTTTTTTTAGAATTGTGGCCGATTTGTAGATTGCACTTGTAAAAATTCAGAGAATTTTTTGTTTATTGTCAATTTCCCATTCATTTCCTATGGGTCGGTCATTTTGACCAAAGACCACAAGTGTGACTATTTTTTTTTACCACCACTTAGCATGCTCGGATCATGACCTCAATTTTTTTTTGTGTTCACATACATAATGCCTTAAAAGTCAGCAAGTTTCATAACATTCCGATGAAGCTGTGATTTTTCGAAATTCAAAACAGAACATTTTTCGGTCAGAAATGACGAAGAGCACCTGAGGGATAAATTCATTTAGGAAGGTTAGCTGAAGAAAAACTCATTTACACACCAGGCCAAGTCCACTAAACCTCCCTGTTGTGCAATGGTTGATTTCACCCTGTTGGCAAACTGCACAGCATCCTCCCCTTCCTGTGCACACAGGAAATGAGTCAGTGAGGACGTGTAATCAATCACATCAGCAATAGCAATAATGCTGCAGCTCACTACTGATGACAGCTACTGTATAATTTTCTGCTCGATCTCTCACCTGCTGTGTCATTGGAGGCAGATACCAGACGTTGCACACTATCGCCCAGCTCGTCATCATCCGCAGCAAATAGCTCACCATGCTATATTTGCTGCTGTTCCAAAATGCATCTCCAAACTGAGGGTCGTACTATATATAACACACACAGACGTCACACTAGGCCAATACACAAACACACACTGTGAAGATTATTGCAACATGAGACCAAAACACAATACTCTGTTGGAATTAAAACTGCATACGACCAATTTATTTTAAATTGTATGTGAAACAGTAGGTGTTAACTATTTGTATTAATTATGATACAGGATTTTTTTAATATATGAAATGATACAGATCAAAAAGTATGCATAAATTATATATATTTATATGTGTGTGTCATTAAATATTAAGCCAAAATTTCTCATTTTAATTTAGCTTAACTTGATGTAGTAAAAATAAAATAAACATTAAAATAGACATTTAAAAAAATAATGTCAAAATCATTCAACAAAATTACTATTAAAATGATACTGTAACACATATAAAAATAATTCAAAATATGAATTAAAACTATAATGATATCTGAATAATCCTAAAATAACATTATATGACCCCATAATTCCCTTTATAATGGGTAATGTGCATAAAAGACAAGTACTGATGTGTTACCTTTATAGCCACGGGGTAAATAGGTCCTCCAATTTCAAAACTTCCCTTCTTAAACATCATTACTGATGTATTATTGATGCACGTTCCTGCAGGTGCAAACATTAGACTTCAACCTTGAGAAGCTTGAGAAACAAACAGGACCTGCAATCCGACTGAAACTGTATCTCAGTGTGTTCCTCACTGTCGGTATGCACTTACCCTCAGGGAAGATGAGGATTGGCAGCTTTGTTTTGACATTTACGTGATCTTTTAACCTGTGAAGGATGAGAAAACAAGAAAGATGAGCAGGACTTTATGTGAACAGAGACAATATGAGGAGGGGACAGGATACTCATGGAAACATGCATGGACATTTGATAAATGAAAGAAGACGTAACAAGACAGATGTAAGAAATGAAGTCATGCCTTTGAATTATTTTTTAATAGATACATACATCAATTATCTATAAATATTCAATCATATTTCATTATTATCCCTATAAGAATTTGATTTAATTATTATTTAACCCTACAGAAAGATAATGTCATTATCTCAAATATAATGTTATTATATTAATCTTTAGATCACATTTGATATAGATTACATTTACAAGCAGAATTTTACTGATATTAATAAAAAATAAGTGAGGGAAGAATTCTGTATTTTCTCAACCAAAAAAAAAATGTATTTGTGAAAATGTATTTTCTTTTTTATTCTAGGTTCAAATGTAATGGTGATGAAAGGCAAACGTCTGGTATTTAGAAAACATTTCTTTTGAATATTGAATATTAAATAATTTCAATATGAATATTATATTTTATAATAATATAATAAACATTATTATTATTATTATTAAATGTTAAATATTACAAATAATATTATAATAAATAATTTCTAATCATTTTATATAACCAGCCTTAATAAGAAATCTTATTTTTCGATACATGTGTAGAATTCCTGTCTCTGAAAACAGGATTACAAGCTTTAGCCCACAGTGATTTTAGCTCTGTTAGGTATAAATCTAGACTGTGGAGACATTGGCACTCCTGTTTGTATATTGCAAATGAAAGTTAATGAACTTTGTATTTTATATTTATTTATAGCTTCGTTGTAACTGTTGTTATGTTTTTTGTACTATGGACCTTTCTTTTTGGGTCCTGAATAAAGTAAAGTAATTCATATTCAATATAAATATTAGCTGGTTATGTAAAATGATTAGAAATTAATTACATATCGACTTGATGGGTAGTGTATTGTATAGATAGGTAGTGTAACCTACTGTTTTGTTCCTGCTTACCCTAGTATCCAAACAATATTTTTTTTTTTTTAAATCATGCCCTCATTTGGTTGTATGGAAGGGGGTATTAAAATATAAAATATAGTAAGTCCAAATAATTTTGGAAATTCTCATTCAAGAAACTTCAGCTGCACTGACACGACTGTAAAAAAGCTGCCTGGGGCGCCACTGAAATCAATGGCCACGGACTGGACTTAAAAATGGCCTTATCTTGAACCAGACTGACAACAAACCCCAATGAGATCATTGTGCATGAAATAATATTAAATTGTTGCCTACATTAGATACTATTATGTATGAAAATATACAGGGGTTGGACAATGAAACTGAAACACTGGCCAATGTTGGAGGTTTCACATCTATATGCCTGGCGGCCAATCTTCAGAGTGAAGCACGGGTGGATCAGTGATGGTTTGAGCTCCAATATCATGACAATCCTGATTGTATTTGATGGACACGACACTGCCGAGGACTACCAAACCCTTCTGGAGGATCATGAGCACCTGATGCTCAAACCGTGTATCAGCATGATCATGCACCAACACTCACAGCAAGACGTTGAACATCTCCCATGGTCTGCACAGTCACCAGATCTGAATATTATTGAGGTGTTTTGGAGGAGCGAGTCCACCAGCATCATATAGTGACCTGGACACTGTTCTGGAAGAGGAACGGCTCATAATCCCTCTGGTCACTGTGAAGGACTTCTATCTGTCAATTGGTGCTGTATTTGGATGCAAAATGAGGCCCTCACCATTCTAACAAATTATTGTGTTGTAAAACCAGGTGTTTCAGTTTCATTGTCCAACCCCTGTATTTGTGTGCCTGTAATTTCCAATACCGCTCGAGTCGTCAATGCATGTCAGAACACTGTGTGTTTTTAAAGAAACGTGTTTCTGTTGTGCTGTGAGGCACATAGCAGCTGACTCAGAGAGACATGACCCAGCATGAACAGGGAGGGAGTATGTAGAGAAATATCTGCATTCGTTTATGCACAACATGCAGTTGTACGAAGAGGAAAGATGAAATGAAATAGACGCAGAAAGTTTGAAAATCATAAAAAAAAGTTTGGTGCTTTGAACTTGATTAACAATAATAGAACATTGTTATTGTTGTTTTACCTTTGTGTCACCAGGTGGCGGTCTTTCATCTGCGCTCTCTCAAACCAGATGTGAGGGCAAGATCGCTCCATAGCTCGCTGGACAACTCCCATTAAACCACCATGAACCTGCCCTACCTGTTAGAGAAGGAGAAGAGTCACAATATTTCACATTTGGAACAAAGTGCTAATCATGCAGAGAATTAATTCCTATGTGACTAAAGCGGCGGTTCTATAATGATTTTGGTGACACACACACACACAAGAAAAACTTTGAATAATGAAAAAATGAATGAATTAATTTAGCTGACACTGACAAATGAAACAAACACACTGTAGCCCACAATATTAACAATTATGGTATTATTGAAAAACATTAATCTTCTGTATTTTCTTCATATATATATATATATATATATATACACAATACCGGTCAAAAGTTTTAGATCGGTACGATTTTTTATGTTTTAAGTCTCTTCTGCTCACCAAGGCTGCAATTATTTGATAAAAAATACAAAAAAACAGTAATATTGTGAAATATTATTACAATTTAAAACAGCGGTTTTCTATGTGAATATATAGTGAAGTGTAATTTATTCCTGTGATCAAAGCTGAATTTACAGCATCATTACTCCAGTCTTCAGTGTCACATGATCCTAGAGAAATTATTAGAATATGATCCTCAAGAAACATTTATGATTTATTATCCATGTTGAAAACAGTTTTTTACATTTTTATTTCAGGATTCTTTGATGAATAGAAAGTTCAAAAGAACAGAATTGATCTGAAATGGAAAGCTTTTGTAACATTAATCACTACCATTCAAAAGTTTGGTGTCAGTATAAATTTATTTTTTATTTTTGGGGGAAAGAATTTAGAAAATACTTTGATTCATCAAGGATGAGTTAAATTGATCAAAAGTTACAGTAAAGACATTTATAATGTTAGAAAATATTATTTTTTTATATAAATGCTGTTCTTTCTATTCATCATAGAATTTGGGGGGGGAAATGGTACACGACTGTGTTCAACATTGAAAATAATAATTTATGTTTTTTGAGCATAAAATCAGCATATTAGAATGATTTCTGAAGGATCATGTGACACTGAAAACTGATGTGTAATCAGCAACAGTAATGTTGAAAATTCAGCTTTCAAATTACATTTTAAAATCTTATTGATCTAAAACTTTTGACTGGTGGTATATATATATATATATATATATATATATATATATATATATAAAAGTCAAGTCACCTCTATAAAAGTCAAGCGCATTTATTTAGCGCTTTATCCAATACAGATTTGGTTCATAGCGATAAACAGGAAAATAATGAATGATTATGCAAATTACATCAAATATTCATATGATGAATAACGAAAAATCATTTTTACTGAATAAATATTTTTTGTTAAAAAATGAAATGCAGAACAAAACATTTGAAGTATTCTAAAATGGCTTCCACAATTTCTTAAAAATAAATAAGTTTATACTGGCTAATTTTGCCCAAAAGTATTTGTGTCCCTCCAAACTTTTGTTTTGGTTTTGGATTGGTGACTCTGTAAATGTACCGTTTGCATAATGTGAAAAGCAGATTCATATATTCATACAAGTCATATACACTCAAAATTTGACCCCATTCATATTCCCCATGCAGATTTAACTGCAGGCCTGAGCGCTATATGCCAAAAAAAAAGAGTGGAAGATTAGTTCTTGCATGCATTGTAAACACAGAAAAAAAACAAGATATTATTTAAGACAGATAAAGTGTTAATTCTGTCTCACTCACCATGGCGTAACAGCCGTCATTAGCCAGAATAACGACATCAATTGGCGAAGTGTGATTAGCTACACAAATGCCTCCTCTCTTAGGTCTGTTCTGTCTGAAAAAACAGAATTAGGATTACACAGACTCATTTAATTTACACAATTTTGACACATTTGATACAAATCTTCATCAACTAGGTCCTGGTGGGCATTATGGGCATAAAAAAAGCAATTTTCATCACTGACAGCCAGTGTCAGCAAGTAGTCATTGCACTTTTACAAAATACAAAATATAAATAGGCAAGCGACATAAACACAGCTCAGTGTCATCTGCAAGGAGTTCAAAGAAAGTGATGAGCCACATGACACACATCAGCAGCGTCTTACGTCAGCAGCGTCACTGAACGCGGACCCACAACAGAACCGGAAGACAATATAATGCTGATTAAAGTCATAGTTTTTGTTATTTTTTGGACCAAAATGTATTTTCGATGCTTCAAAACATTGTAACTAACCCACTGATGTCACATGGACTACTTTGATGATGTCTTTATTTCCTTTCTGGACGAGGACAGTATACCGTACATACATTTTCAATGGAGGGACAGAAAGCTCTCGGACTAAATCTAAAATATCCTAAACTGTGTTCCGAAGATGAACGGAGGTCTTACGGGCTTGGAACGACATTAGGGCGAGTCATTAATGACATCATTTTCATTTTTGGGTGAACTAACCCTTTAAGTTGCTGGCTGCAATTCACTTAACAGCCACCGGTGTCGCTAATAACAAGGGTTTCTGAATTCTAAATACAGCCCATTTAAATGTATCATTTTTAATGCAGTGGCGTATCAATCTTCTATTAATCGGACCTCTTCAAGTGCTACGAATTCGCAGGTCAGAGTTTACCAAAATTGAACATTGGAACGCAACGAAATGAGAAACATCTTCGCATGAGCTTACGTTTCCTGTATCCAGAGTGTATGAATGGAAGTCAATGGAACGAAAAGAACAGAGACACAGTGTCACTGTACAAGTCTAAACCATATAATAGTTCCTTGATTAGACTGGTTGTTGTGGTGAGCAGGACGGCCGAGGGACGTGAGAGAAAGTCGCGAGGCCGGTGGTGCGATTGCTAATGAGCAGCACCTGTGAAGCACACCGGTCTCGCATCTCTCACGAAGGAGCGGAGCCATAAAGGGGGAGCGACGGAGTGGATGAGCGAGAGAGGAACAGGCCTGCTTTTGTTTGTGTTTTATATTTTATTTGGTAAGCCAGCAGTCGTCCGCGAGGGGCTGCTGGCCGGTATTTTATATTTTATTTTCGGTAGCCAGCAGTCGTCCGTGAGGGGCTGCTGGCAGGTATTTTGTTTGTTTATTTTGTTTAAATAAAGTTTATTTTATTATTATTATCCGGTTCCTGCCTCCTTCTTCCCTGAACTTTGTTACATTGGTGCCGAAACCCGGGAAGAGGGAGGAACGCGCTGTCCGAGGGTCCTCGCCGCTGGGGGGAATCCGCGGTGCCATCGAGCATGGTGCGCGAGTCGCCGCCGCTCGCCGTGAGCCGGAGCCTGCAGCCGTCCGCCGCATAAGGGGAGGAGCAGGGAGCGGGGGACTCGCGGCCATGGACGCTCGAGGCGGGGCACTGGGATGAGTTGCCGGTGGGACGCCCGAGCTCGCCGCCGACCGCCTGGAAAATGGAGGGGCGGCTGCCGTTCGGGAGGGAGAGGAGGAGTCACCGCCGCTTGCCGTGGGCCGGAGCCTGCTGCCATCCGCCAGTGAAGGGGAGCAGGGAGCGGGGGACTCCTGCCGTCTGCCCGAGGCACCCGAGGAGCCGTCGCCGTCCACCGGGGGCGGGGGAGCGTCGAGGCGTTCACCGAGGGCCATCCAGCGTCGCCGCCAGGCACCGCGGAGGAGATCGCCCAGCTGGTGAGGGACAAGATGGCAGCGCGTTGTGGGAGCCGGACTATTTTTTTTTTTTTTTTTTTCCTCTCTCCCCTCTCTCGTGTTCGTCGCTCCTCAGGCTTCCGTCTCCGTTTCCCTCGGCTCGTCGATCCATACCCCCCAGGGATCGCCGCCGCCGGGGGGGAAGTAGGCACAGTCTCGGGTGTACCCCCCGGCCTGTGAGGGGTGATGGGGGTATGTGGTGAGCAGGACGGCCGAGGGACGTGAGAGAAAGTCGCGAGGCCGGTGGTGCGATTGCTAATGAGCAGCACCTGTGAAGCACACCGGTCTCGCATCTCTCACGAAGGAGCGGAGCCATAAAGGGGGAGCGACGGAGTGGATGAGCGAGAGAGGAACAGGCCTGCTTTTGTTTGTGTTTTATATTTTATTTGGTAAGCCAGCAGTCGTCCGCGAGGGGCTGCTGGCCGGTATTTTATATTTTATTTTCGGTAGCCAGCAGTCGTCCGTGAGGGGCTGCTGGCAGGTATTTTGTTTGTTTATTATGTTTAAATAAAGTTTATTTTATTATTATTATCCGGTTCCTGCCTCCTTCTTCCCTGAACTTTGTTACAGTTGTCATCAAATGTAGCCTTGAACTCACTTGTTGTGGTAATGAATAGTAGCTGAAAGGCCTCTTGCACAGATCCTGTAGCACATCACGTGGACTAGTTCACTCAACCAACCCTTCACTCTGAAACAACAAAGGTTTGTAATGAATAGAATTAGGATTAAATAACACTTTAATGGACACGCATTAAAATGTCTATGGATAAAGGAGCTCAACAAGCGTTTTATTATGAGATGCCCATCGTTAAAACCGTTTTTCATCATTCTGCATAGAAATTTGTCATTTACATGGAAATAAACACATTTGCTAAATAAACATCCAAGTGATGTAGATGCCTCAGGTTTAGTTGAGAAATATGCTTTTTAAATGGTTAGTCTATCAAATTTAGACATCTGATCATAATTTGTGTGGTTAAGAAGCCTAGTGGAGACCGGCACACCCTTATCTCATGTTGGAGACACCAGACCAGAGCCCAAAACATAATTTAGTCTGGGAACATAATAAAATACTGATCTCAACATTAACTTGATTAAGTGCAATCATGAATAATTCACACATTTAAAAGACTGATAACATAACCAAAGCATTACCTGAAGTTAGGGAGGAATCCCACCATTGTTGTGCCAATTACCAACCAGCTTAACCCTATAGCTGCCAGTGTAACCCTGAGACAATAACAGAAGAGCAGATTAGATGCATGAAAAAGATGAATGGAAAAAAATACTACACATGTTTATACTATTAAAAAATGACACATGACAATTGCATCCAAGCAACTGATTTGAAATTAAATAAAATGACTTTTTCCATAAATATTTCATTATTTTCATTATATACTGCCAACAAAAGAACAAAGCACTGAATCTAACTAATATACACTAGCATTTAAATGACAGGGGCGGCTCGCTCATAGAGGGTGCTGGGGCGCCGCCCTCCCTCCGACCTGTCTGTCTGTTTTTTTAATATATATTATAATTTATCATTTTGAAAAATAATCTGTGTTAATTATATGCTAATAATGGTTTTACTTTGAAAAGTGTTTTGAACTCACCAGAATGATATTTGCATTCACTTTCGTTACGTTTATCATGTTGGTGCAGTAGTATAGCCAATAGGCTGTCTTCTCAGGGCGCCAGTTCGCTCAGCCCCACAGTGCTGGAATTTAAGCCAATGGTTCCCCGGTTGCTATGCAAAAAAGTTTATATTTCGCCAATCAGCGTCGTCAAATTTTATGGTTTGGGGGCGCTGAAAATATCGCCCACAGTATCAGATTAGGGGAGTGCACCGTGCACACGCACGACGGGACATTTTTTTTACCTCAGATGAGAGCAGAATGGCAGCGCCAGTGACGTCGAGTGGAAATAATGTAAAGTTAGTCGTGGGAATTGACCTGTCTGTCTCTGTCACTCACTCACTCACTCACACACACACTGTTTCACACACGTTTGATATTAAAATAGTTATAGGAATATTAATACCTGTGTGTTTGCTTTGTTTTTTGATGTTTTTAAGTTCTGAGCTAGATTACTGTGTTTCATACTAGTTAAAATCAACTTTCTTCTCATACTTGGGTGTTACCCTCAAGAATGTTGTCCCACCCTCTCTTTCAGAGCCTTTTCTCTCTCTCTTTCTCTAGTATCAACAACACATTGTTATCCATTATCCAATTGTCAATTTGTCAAAAATATGTAGTCTACAGCTGGGGATTGATTAAACTAGATTGTTGTATTACCTATATTATAATTTATCAATATTATGCGTTTGCACTTTTTCTGTCAGCACACAGAGCATAATAAACATGCAACTTGTTCATTATCATTAACTGTCAAACTGTTATTATTATTATTGTATTATTTGACCATTGGTTGACTGGTTTAAGTTATTTTATTGTATAAGGGCATGGCCTAAGGCCTAAAATGCACCAGAATGCAGGAAATCACATCTACTAAATTCAAACTTTTCTGGGGGGGGGGTCACCCCCAGACCCCCCTCTTATTCAGCCCCCCCTCAAATATTTTTCACCAGCCGCCACTGATTGTAGTCTTTAAGAACTTTTTTTTAAATTGTTTTTGAAAGAAGTATTATCCGTTCACCAAGGCTGAGTTTATTTGATTAAACTGTAAAAACAGTACTATTGTGAAATATTATTGCAAAAACTGTTTTCTATTTTAGTATGTTTAAAAATATAATTTATTCCTGTGATGTACAGATGTACAGCTGTATTTTTAGCATCATTACTTTTCAGTGTCACATGATCCTTCAGAAATCATTCTAATTATTATCAATGATTCTGATTATTATCAATGTTGAAAACAGTCGTGCTGCTTAATATTTTTGTGGAAACTGTGATATACATTTTTCTTTGAGTTCAAAAGAACAGCGTTTATTTGAAACCTTTTTCTTGCTGAAAAAAAGTATACATTTCTTTAAATCCCAAACTTTTGAACACTAATGTACTAGGAATAAATGATTACTGAATTGGTACACTACCGTAGAGGAAGCAATATGCAGTATCTCACAACCACGCCAACCCCCCACAGTACAGAGAGCCTGAGAGAGATGTACTGGAAGTTGTTGTTGGTCCTGGTGAGGAGGTTCCAGGACACCAGCTCCTCTGAGGTGAATCTCTGCGTGACGTCGTCTTCCACTATGCTCTCGATGCCTGTCCTGGTGAAGTACAGGACGTCGCTCAGAGTGAAGTCTCCGCGCTCGGACGACTTCGGCCTGTTCCGACGTAACTCCTCAATCTCCTGCTCCAAAGAGGAATTTTCTCTCTGAATCAAACCTGAGTCACACAGACAAAAGTCCTGGTTAACTTTATAATGAAATGTTCAACAATGGCTGACTGTTTTTATTCGATCAAAATGTAATATTTTGAAATATTATTATTACAACTGGTTTTAATTTTTATATATTTTTAAAATGTAATTTATTAATTTTCAGCATCATTATTCCAGTCTTCAGTGTGACATGATCCTTCAGAAATCACTTACTATGCCGATTTGGTGAACAATAAACTTTTCTTATTAGTATCAATACTGAAAACAGTTGTGCTGCTAAATATTTTTGTTGGAAACCGTGAGACATTTTTTTATTTAGATGCATAGAAACATTATAAATGTCTTTACTGTTTGTGTCTGTTCACTTTCCTTATATGGAAAATAACAACGTGAGCATCCCTTTTTTTCTATTCAAGGGAGGAAATAAAGTCACAAGCATTTGTCGCAAAATGAGTAAATTATGACAGACTACAGTGCCCATTCTGTGCAATCTTAAAGGGTTAGTTCACCCAAAAATGAAAATTCTGTCAGTATTTACTCACCCTCATTTTGTTCCAACCCGTAAGACCTTCGTTCATCTTCGGAACACAAATTAAGATATTTAAGATATTAAGATCGCTCCTGCATACAGTCCATAGGCTTCTTGAGGGACTGGCTCTTGCTGTCCCCGAAAAGTCATTAAAGACATCGTTAAAATAGTCCAAGTGACTACAGGGGCTCAATCTTAAGTTTATCAAACGACGAGAACACTTTTGTGCGCAAAAAAACAACAAAAATAACGACTTTATTTCAACTATTCGTTTCTGCGCGAGTCAGGTTACTAGTTTAATAGCGTAAGCTTCTGTTATTGTACGTCACACGCATCACACACATGACCAGCGTCGGCCAATAGTGAGCCTACGTGTGACGTAGCTCTACGCAATCACACTACGTTAACTGACTTACAGGCTCATGGAGAAGGAAGTGAATAGTTGAAATAAAGTCGTTATTTTTGTTGTTTTTTTGCGCACAAAAGTGTTCTCGTCGTTTGATAAACTTAAGATTGAGCCCCTGTAGTCACTTGGACTATTTTAACGATGTCTTTAATGACTTTTCGGGGACAGCAAGAGTCATTCCCTCAAGAAGCCTATGGACTGTATGCAGGAGCGATCTTAATATCCTAAATATCTTAATTTGTGTTCCGAAGATGAACGAAGGCCTTACGGGGTTTGAACAACATGAGGGTGAGTAAATACTGACAGAATTTTCATTTTTGGGTGAACTAACCCTTTAAGGAACACATTCGAACAAGACACAGTCAGACGCTTTATGTAAGCAATAAGGTACGAGAGGCTGTGGAGTATCGTGAATAAGTAACGACTGAAGGGCGTTGTTAGGCTCGACGTGCGGAGTAACCCCTTCAGCCGTTACTTATAGAGTGCCGAAGTTACGACGTCACTCTGTAGGCCAAAACGCAGAAGTGAGTTAGCATTTTAGCACTACGGTTCCCTCGCTCTAAAGCCTATGGGATTTTTGAATGGGTTTTTGCTAAATCGGCTGAAATAAGGTCTGTGGTGAACAAAGCCTCTAAATATTTTCACGTTTTGATCTATGACATAGAACACACAGTTATAACCTGCTTGTGGGTTTTTAAACTTTATTGTGTCTGAAAACGTGTAAGGGTCACAACCCTTTGTTAAACACAGATCTTATTTTTTGCGATTTTCCAAAAGTCTATGGGGAAAATGCATTGCTTTTCGACCGAGGGAACCCATGCGCCGCTAGCTTCCGAGTTGTCCTACAAAGTGACGTCATGTTCGCCAGCGTCATATGTGACGTCACGAAATGGGCGTGGGCGCGAACTGGTTGGCAGAAAGAACCAAAACATACGCAGCAGATGTGTTCTGTCAACAAAATGATAATTCTTTGTACGAAAAAGCTAAAAGCAGATATAAGGTAAAGCTTTTATATAACCAGGGTTCATGTTCTATGCCTGATCCATATCGCCTGAGTGAGAATTGGAGCAATAGCCCTAACACATGGCCACATTCGGCGACATCTAACGTTACCTGTATCTCATCGACACGCCATCTATCTATGGAAGCTTGTTTCCGCCACTGAATAAAAAAATATAATAAATAATTGTGACTTTTTATCTCACAATTCTGACTTTTTTTCTCACAATTCTGACTTTTTTTCTCACAATTGCGAGTTTATATCTCACAATTCTGACTTTATTTCTCAGAATTGCGTGATATAAAGTCGCAATTGCGAGTTATAAAGTCAGAATTGTGTTATAAAGTCAGAATTGCGAGATATAAAGTCAGAATTGTGTGATATAAAGTCGTAATTCTGGGAAAAAAAGACAGTGAAGAAGTGTGACTTTTTTTCTCACAATTGCGAGTTTACATCTCGCAATTCTGACTTTATAACACATAATTGCGAGTTTATATGTCGAAATTCTGACATCTTTTTTTAGAATTGTGAGATATAAACTCGCAATTGCGACTTATTAGGCCAATTCTAAGGGGGAAAAAAGACTAACTTTTTTCCCCCTCAGAATAGTTTAAATCTCACAATTCTGACTTTATATCACGCATTTCTGACTTTATAACACGCAATTGCGACTTTATATCTAGCAATTCTGACTTTATAACTCGCAATTCTGACTTCATATCTCGCAATTCTGACTTATAACTCGCAATTCTGACTTCATATCTCGCAATTAAAACTTTATATCACGCAATTCTGACTTCATATCTCGCACTTGCGACTTTATATCACGCAATTCTGACTTTATATCTCGCACTTGCGACTTTATATCACACAATTCTGACTTTATATCTCGCAATTGCGACTTTATATCACACAATTCTGACTTTATATCTCACAATTCTGACTTTCCATCTCGCAATTCTGAGAAATAATGTCAGAATTGCGAGAAGTAAACTCACAATTGTGAGAAAAAATGTCGCAATTACCTTTTATATTTTTCATTCAATGGCGGAAACAAGCTTCCATATCTATCAGAGAGTGAATGAAGGCGTACAAATCTTTAGATGCCTATAAGTCATAATTACGAATATTACTTGTGTTAACTGGATAACTGGTAAATTTGTTACAGCTAGAGTAAAATAGAGGTGTAATTTGTCCATGGGCTATATTTTGAATCAAAATTATCTTACCTCTGATATATAACATTGGTCAACATATACGTAAAAATGTATCAAAGAAAATACAATAATTTGCCCTTAATCTATAAGGGAGTGTACACAGATGATACACTGACTGTACAGTACCCAATCTTTGGGTTAAATTATGACTTTATAATACTAGGCGGCAAAGGGCCATTACTTTTCTGACAACCAGAGCACATGTAACGGGCGAAGATCCCATTGCCTCGAGTACCTTATTGCTTTAATAAAACGGTTACCACACAATAAAAATAATAAAGTAAAAAAATAATTTATTAGTGAAACTTTCATGAAGTAAAATCACTAACAGTGTTCCTTCCGCTAGAAAAAATAGTCCCTGACCGTGAACGGCAACAACGTTCCAGTGTGTAAAATGCATGAAAGCTCAAATCAAAACAACATAGGAACTGAAGTGTTGCGCAGTGATAAATAGAGCCGTTGGGTGAAGCGATCATAGCCGTGTTTTATCATGAATAAAGCATGTGACGTCTATTGACCAATCTCCATCAATGATTGGAACTAATCGTTTTATAAAATTGGGTATAATAAGTAACGCTATCATCAGCTGAGAGTGAAGATCAGTGAGGTATTGATAAGGAGCATTCATAAATCTAATGGAAGGTGTAACTGATAAAGACAGACTAAAGTCCATCACGAATGTGGAAGAGAGCAAGAGTACTGTAATCCTTGTGCAACACACGTGATTGTTTGAGGAGACAGATAAGCTGAGAACCCGAGAGATCTCAAAGCTCTGCTAACCTAAAAGGCATAAAAGATGTCCACTTTTACAAAAACCTCTTGACAGAAACTATTTTTCCATTGAAAGAATTGCAGAAATGCTCAATAATCCTAATAAAATGACAAGCATTCTGCTACAATTATGTCCCGTCAACAACTTTGACATCAATGTGATGTCTTTTAAATTTCAAAGTTGTTGTCATACTACATTTGAATTGGAATATAGTACCACTTTTATCTATAAAAATAAATAATCCTCACAACTCTGCCATTCATGTGTGCTACGTTTGTGCGGATTTGTGCTGGTTTCGGCGTTTGAGATATTGAACATTATTTTTTTAGGGGCTGTTGTGTGACGTCACTCTCCACCTCGTGTCGTCCAGATCACTCCAAAGTGATCCCGTTGGTTTGTGCCGTTAAAACAAACACTGCGACTATTTTCCTTCCGCAGATTTAACAAATATAATTCGGGAGCTGTGACGTCACTCTCCACCCCGTTTCATCATTCATCATATCATTCGCTTGTGCTCGATTTGTATCTTTTTCCCCTCAGAAACAACAAATAAAATTTGGGAATGATGATAACCCATGGTTTATCTTGTGTTTGTAAACTCACCATTTGATGCAGAATGTTTCAGTATTTCCTCTGCTCTACTCGCTCTTTGTATTCTGTGTGTTGCCCACTGTAAAAACACAGAGTAAAGCTTAATATATATTGCATGAGTCCAATTGCTTCTGACACTAGGCTTGCATACTTGCAACTTGCATAATGAATCACAATTCATTAAGACCAAAGGGCACTTATCACTTATTATGATACAGCACATTTCAGTTTAAGAAATATATACAGCATCATCTGATTATGCCACTGTGGTCATTCATTGGTCAACAAAATTGTTTCATTTCCCCTTGGTGAGTGTGTGCAATAGTGTACTGGTATCATGCTGGTATAATGAGTGTCATGCTGGACATCTTAAAAGCTTGTCTAAATTGTGTATAATTAATATATGCAGTTTTTGAAAAGCTCATATCAACAGAGAGAATTTGTGCTTTTGTAAAATGATTTGCCACAGCAGAACTTGACCATTTGAAGAGCTAAAGAGTGATTAAAAATGGTGACAATCATGAATTGAATGGCTTTGTAAACCGTTTACTTTCCTACTATAGAAACAAATGTAGGGCATGACACTTTATCTTTTGGGAGCTGATAGGAGGAAAATTGGGTGTTACCTATTTTTTACAGTCTATGGGTGTTACATAGTAGAATGGAGCGGTACGGCTTAACTTTCATCAGTTACAACATTCAAGACGTTATTGATATTTTCTTTGGAGTAATGTGCACATTCAATTGTTTTAAGAAAGTAAATCATGAGTTTTATGTCATTAAAAGAAAATGTGACTAGATATAGTGCTTAAAAATATACTTTCTTTATAAATTCATATAATATATATTCAAAGATATAATATACCACTAATGCATATGTCTATAAATATGTAAGTCTTACAGAGTTATTTTAGTATCATTTATAAACTATTATAGCTTTTATTAATATTTTGAACTAGCTTTTATTTTTAATTTGTATCTTTCATTGTAGTAAAACAAAAAATGATTTTAGTCAAATATTTAGTCATTTTGTTATCTGATTTTTTCATTTTATGTAGTTTTTATTTGCTAAGGCAACATCTCGTTTAAGTTTTCATCTAATATTTATATTATATTACAGCTTTAATTACAATTAAAGGCATAGTTCACCCAAAAATGAAATAAAAGCCTAAATTCAATCTGTTCATCGTATAAAGCGATCGTGTCACTTCAGAAAATGTTGGATCAAACCGCTCAATTTTTATGGATTAGTTTTAGGATCTCTTTATAAAATTTTTGAAGCATCAAAGTGGTATTGAGTAGCTTTTCAAAGGGACAGAAAGCTCTCAGATTTCATTTGTTCTGATAATGAACAAAAGTCATAGGTGTTTTTGACAGTTTTAATTTTGGGGTGAACTATCCCTAATGATTTTTTTTGTCTGGTTTTTCTTACGCACCTCTAAGGATTTGATAAGGAGCTTCATGTAGGTCTCTGTGATGCCTAGAGAGATGCCAAACATGGCAGGGAGCATTATCAGGACCACCACACAGGTGAACCAGATCCTCAGCACAGGGAAAAACACAGCCCAAAACCCCTCCATGACCACACGGAATACACCACTTCACTGTACACTACAACACTGGGAGGAAAATCAAATTAAATGCATTCAATGCATAAAAGTAATGTTTCTTTAAAATAAGCACAAACATTTATGATTGAAACAGACTTCTGATGATGTGATATAGCCCTGGAAGTCTTAAAAAAATTGTTTCTCTCTTTTAAGTCAGTCAAAGCAACATGGAGTTTAAGCCATAAAGCAATATAACACAAAAACAAATCAGATTAGCTTTTGTTTTCTCAGTGAATTAAGCTAAACTCACCAGGTTTCTTGAATTCAGCAGCTCTACAGAGAATGCCCCTCGATGTCATACTCCTCTGACCCTTAGCATGATGGCGACTGTAACCTGAGGTGTTTAAAAGTCCGTTTAAGGAACTTCTGCAGCCTTTACTCGGAGTGATTGGGAAATAGCAATGCTGGAAGACATCCTAGACCTGTAAAATGTAGAACAAAGTTCAAGAGCAACAATAGAAAAAGGCGCCATCTTGTGAAAATAATGTGTAGTGCATTTAAACACTGAGATGGGTTAAAAAACACTTATAGGGACAGGACCTTTTCTCAACATCAAAAGGTTAGCAGCATATATTAATATGTTTTAACATATAATAAGTGGATTTAACATGCATTTAGCAGACACTTTTTAATCAACTTACAATAGAATATAGCCATATTTGTCACTAAACCAACAATATTTGTAGTCAAAAAACCTTTATATTTATATACTTTATATACAATTTAGTATAAAGACCTTAGCCAATGAACCATTATGTTTTTATTACCTTAGAATGAGCCATTTATATCTACATCGTCCCCTTAAATGCGCTGACATGTTTCTACAGTTAGCCCCGAAAGGACAAACGCGTTTCGTTATTATTGTGTTCTTTGTGCAAGTAAGCTGGCTAAGGTCAGCGAATAAAACACTGACATAATGATGAACAGGTAACAATAATATTCGCAATAATATATAGTTTTACAGAATAATAAAGTAAACCTAATTTCTTAATTTATCTTTGTAAAGAAACCTCATTGTTTAACTGGCGATGACACCGTAACTTTGGTTGGTTGCAATTCGCAACCTCACCACTAGATGCCGCTAAAACCACACACTGCACCTTTAACTATTGATTAATAATTTATAATGATAAAAGCAATAATAATGCGTCTCTGTTTTTCATTTTTTCAGTATTCCAAAACTTACTGTCTAAATAATATTTTAAATCCCAAATTGTAAGAGAACAACATTTTAGGGGATGCAACTACTTACACCTTATATCACCATTTTAATCCCATTTTTGCAGCTAGTGGGATGGGATAAATTCTGAAACAACAAAGCAATTTTGGCTGGGGTGTGATAGCATGTGTGATCCATATGGATATGTAGGCCTAATCTTCTCTAAAGTTAGACAGTCTTTAATTAAATAACCATATCAAGAAGATGAGACAAAGGAACTAGCCCAAAATAGTTTTGTTTCCCTAAAAGGATATGCTTTAAAACAGGAGAAAGAAATTTTGCCTTTGAATATAAGTTCAGTTTAAGTCAAAACTGTTAATGTGTACCAAATTTACAAATTTAAATTTACCACATGAGCAAAATGTGACTTATCCCGTTGCTCAAACAGCACAGCAATGCTAGAGTTTTTTTTTAAAACTGTCACAGTGACAGTCACTCTGGATTACTTGATTCTAATTGGTCAATAGTGCCATCCAGCGGTCAGATATTTTCTAATATTGATGGAAACCGGGAACACGGTATACCGCTTGTACGGGTAGCTGAAATAACACAAAACAAGGGTGACTCAAAAAAGTACTCAGATGACTTCAGTGTTACATTACTGTAATATTTTTAGCGCTTTTTTTACACTCTACATGGCCGTTCACACAGGACCCTTCATTTTATTGCTTTTTTTTTTTATGTAAACAGTTTTTTTTTTCCATCCAATGCAGATCATGCACGAGTCGGAACAGACTACAAAACATATTGGGCTCATTTTAATTCTACACAGAATGCTATATTTTTATAGAGATGTGGAGGAGATTAGGAGGAGAAGCGTTTAGAAACTACGAGAAAATGCAGCTTTATTTTCACCGACGTCACGTTCTGGGCGGTAACCCGGATGAGCGGCCATTATGGAGGCACTCGGATGTAAACAACAGCATGGACTGCACTGTTTATGTAACGTACTACTGAACACATTGTTACACTAAAAAACCCGTGGTATGTGCGAAATCATATAGAGAAGGACTTATCAAGCAGGAGAGAGCAATATTTTGACAAACTAAAGTTAATATGCTACGTACGTTCAGATTGTCAGCCCCAAAAAAGCACATGAAATCCGTTTCAACCTACATCCATAGCTTGATGCTGTGCCTCTCTCAACCACAAACGCCTTCTTTCATCAGTTTTTTGCACTCCTCTCTATAACTTTGGACAGTCTATAGAACTCGAAAGGTATTTTCCCGATGCGACCAATCAGTACAGACCAAAACTCGACCATTTTTCAGCAGAAATAATCAGCCAAATTTTCGAGTCCGTTCACGTTTATGTGCTGTGCCTCCAAAATGGCCGACTTCCGGATTGATGACGTGTCGTGAAAAAAGGGGAGGAGCTCTTCGGGTCTTTACTTTTCATTTAAGCGTTTGCGACTGCTAGAGACGGCGAGCGCAGCGTTAAACACGTCTCCATTGTTTACATCTATAGGCCTATTTGTTGCGGTAGCTTTAATTCTCTATACTTATACAATTATTTAAAACTTGAAATCAAATCAATATTTTATATCACCGAATTTGGTGAGCAGGCCATAGAGTAACCGAGATTATGTACAGTCAGCTGGTAATTATCGTAAAATAAACCACTAAGCAATAATGACCAAATGACCGTACATGATTACTTAAGACACGTGCCAAATTCTGGGTTGCACCAAGATTTTTTATGGATAAGCAACTTCAAAAAAATATTTGAAAAATAAAAAGTTATGTGGCTATACAGCTCCCTTCACTCCTGCAGCGCGTTCGTTGTCCTGTGGCGATCTCCTCTCCTCCTGCGCGTGGAAACAGGAGGAAAGTCACGGGAATCTCTCCTCCCACTCCACATCATATATTCCTTCATTCTCTGTTCACTTTTCTGCTCCCAGAGCTCTCCTGCTTTCACCAGAAACTCCCCTCAGGACTGACTTTCACTAATTCTTCGGCTTCAATGCCGCAGAGCGTTTATTTACCCTTTTAATTTTGCGTTGCAGAAACATGCCAAGTCGGGTCAGCGTCGCGATTTTGCGGTTTAATTGTGTTTTCTTTCTGGCTGCGAGCCACGTCAAGAGCTCTGAACCGGACTACCTCTTTCCAGACACAGAACAAGGTTTGTGTTTTTATGCATAAGAATTATACAGTTGTTTTCAAGCATGTTTTACTTAGGCTACAGCTTGTGGGCTGTTTTATTTAAAGGAGCAGCTGTAAGTCCTTATGACATGTCAAGTGGTTCACTGAGGCGAGTGGTCAGCTGCTGCAAAGTCCATATTTCTTTTTATGGAGATCTGAACTGTACATAATCTCATTCTATAAAAGCACATTTAGGCCCAACCCTTTTCTGTATGAATGATTCAGTCAGTAAGGACTTTTTTTTCTTCTTGTATACAAGGATGTTGTATAGCTGAATTTGGAGAAACTTGCACATCTGTTCATTGCAGTAAAGGGTACTTGGTAGGCCTTCATCAACTCTTTCATCAGTCATTTTGACTGTTTTATGATGTCTGACATGAAGAGGAGAGTGATGTAGAATTATGGGTAAGGATCAGAGGTAATCATTCATTGTGGTTTGGATGACGCCACTCTTTGAATGGTTAAATGACTTGAATGAAACAATGGTTATAGGTTTATATTTATATATATATATATATATATATATGTGTGTGTGTGTGTGTGTGTGTGTGTGTGTGTTTATTATATATATATATATATATATATATATATATATATATATATATATATATAATGAATGAAATAAATACAAATATTTAATAAAATGTCATAAAGATGCAAAAAGAATTAATGGTCATAAAGGTCCATAGTCTTTTTTTTAGTCTTTTTTTGTAAATTATTTGTTTATTCATTCTCTCTTTTTTTCCACATTTAATTTTATGGTGAAATATGACTGAAGTAAGATTTTTTTTTTATGAGACGTGCCCTTATCCTCTGGTAGCTCCAGAAATGATTATCTGCTGTAATATGTTTGAACTGCAAAATGTATTTAAATTGAACTGTCTTGTTTTCATTCATTTGTAGACCTCTTGATCAAGCAACACTCTGAATTTTATGTGGATCACCCTGAAAAAGTGGACGCGAATGGAAAATTCATCTCATACGCCTTATCACATCACTTCACTAAAATGCGGCATAAGAGGGACCTAATTTCAGCGGAGAGGCGGGTGTATTACAAACTCAACTACAAAGGTCGGGAGTACACTCTCAATCTAACCACTAATGACAACCTCTTCGCTAATAGTTTAATGGAAAAGTGGCCACAAACATCTGGGAACGGTGCCTGTCACCTTCTTGGCACAGTAACGGTGGATAACATGCCAAGTATAATCCGGACCGCTGCTATCAGCACCTGTGAGGGACTGGTGAGAAATATCTGTCAATTTTTTAATGTATATCATGCAGTTCATTTATGAGTCTGTTGCATACACTGCTTAGACTAGTCTTAACTAGTCAATTATGGAATGAGTTCAGTTCATCTTTAAAGCAGTTTTGGAGTCTAGCTCAGTTCAGTTCTCATCCAATTGTCTCAGTGCAGTAATATCAATAATATTTCTGAATATTAAGTGTACACAACTAAGCAAGCCAAAGGCGACGATAGCAAGGATCTTAAACTCTCCCTTAAAGGAGTAGTTCACTTTAAAAAAACTTTTGCTGATAATTTACTCACCCCCATGTCATCCAAGATGTCCATGTCTTTCTTTCTTCAGTCGAAAAGAAATTAAGGTTTTTGATGAAAACATTCCAGGATTTTTCTCCATATAATGGACTTCAATGGGAACCAAATGGTTCAAGGTCCAAAAGACAGTTTCAGTGCAAACTGCAAACTGTTCAAAGGGCTTTAAACGACACCAGACGATGAATAAGAGTCTTATCAAGCGAAACGATCACTTATTTAAAAATATAATAACACAGTTTTAGTTTTATAAGCTCAAATGCTCGCCTTGCTCTGTTCTGTGATGCGCGTTCGTGACTCTCCTGTTCGAACTCGTTCATCAAAATGAACAAATCTTTTTTCGTGACATTTTGGTTCATTCAACGAACGAAATGAACAACTGACTCGGGAAAAGATTCGTTCATTTTGTTCGAACTGTTTGGTTCCCATTGAAGTCCATTATATGAAGAAAATCCTGGAATGTTTTCATCAAAAACCTTAATTTCTTTTCGACTGAAGAAAGAAAGACATGGACATCTTGGATGACATGGGGGTGAGTAAATTATCAGCAAAATTTTGAATTTTCTGTTATCTCTGAAATATTGCCACATTATGCAAGTAGAATGGGTTGCTAATGCAGTTTCATGTAGCCTATTTGAAATTAATCTGACTGTTTCTTCTGAACAATATTATGTCTGTATTATTTAAGCCACTGGTTTCACAGATGACTAAGTCTAGTCCAGACTAAAATCATGTCTGAGCTGTTTTGACTGAAAGCAACTTCCATTGGTGTATCTTAAATGTCAGTGGTATTGTTTTGTCTCAAGATGCACAGCAGTAATGTTTTTTTCTTTCTAAGGCACATTTATAAAAGCCCACTGAACTAAGGCCTAATCCTGACTTTTCTGTGAAACCGGGCAATATACTACTATATCTTTATTTTAGTAATTCAATAATAAAATGTTCAGTAAAAAATCTTCAACTTAAACATAAAATTTCAATATTTCTAATTATCTTTTTTTTTAAGTTTAAGCATTTCACCTTATTTTTATATTTATTTAAATTAAAGAAAATGAGTTTTAGTTTTAGTTAACAATAACCAAACAGCTATCTCCCGTAAACCTGGCAGTCCCAGACAGAATAAATGCCTGTCTGGAGCGACTTCGACTGGCCTGTTAGACGCTTAACTCTTTGACCCTGTTTTGTTTGCAAAAATAAGTCAGTGTTTAGCTCTCAGAGTGACTCTACAAAGAAAAATCAGCGTGTGAGACGAATGTGTTCAGATAGTTTATATTTTCCAATAATGACTGTCGGACTGTAGATCATCCCACTATTACTCGACTACTTACCAAATAGATATACAAATGGACATGAACCATCGATCTAAGTTTAAATTATTTTAAATCTAAGAAGGCGATTGTGTCTGAACCATATTTCACTGCAGAATGCCACGACTGACCAATCATAATTAGCAGTTCCAGAGACCCATCCAATAGTAGTCTCTTAAAAAGCAGGGAACTTGAGAATAACTGTAACCAGGTCAGTGTGTCAGCACATAACATGACTCATTCTGACTTGGCAATTGAACAAGAAGTTGCAAACAGGAAAAAGAGGAGAGGCAGAGGGAATCGATTGTCGGTGAAAGCAGAGATCTGGACTTGGAAATGAGCTTTGATTTATTAGGTGCATGCATAATTTGCAGAAGTATGCATGCAGTACTTGCATGTCTGTCAGTCACTGCCTGAGCATGCATGCTCCTCCTGTAAGCTCAATCAACAGCGCTTCATTCCGTTCTCATGTTATCTTCCCCTAAAAACCTTCTCTCTCAGTTTCGGGTGCTATTACACTCGCATTCCATTCACTTTCATGCATTCACTCCTCAGAGACTCTTCAGAAAATAAATAACAGATAGACCTCTATAACACAGCTGACAATGCCAGGTGCTTTTGCTTTAAAAGCAGACAAAGTCAGGATTACTTGACTTAACTAAAACATAATGAGGTGCAAATGATCAGTAGAGCGTTTATGCACTACACACTCTAAAAAATGCTGGGTTGTTTGAACCCAAATTTGGTTTAAATATGGACAAACCCAAATGTTGGGTTAAAAATGCAATTAAAAAAAATTACAATTAAAAGTGAAAGTTGATGTTGGGTTAAAATTTTAAATTACATTTTTAACCCATCGTTTGGGTTTGTCCATATTTGACTCAAATTTGGGTTAAAATAACTCCGCATTTTTTAAAGTGTATATATTGACTTCGTCTAAGAAAGAAAATGAAATTGCTTAATATCTCACATTCTAAAAAATGCTGAGTTATTTTAACCCAAATTTGGGTCAAATATGGACAAACCCAAACGTTGGGTTAAAAATGTAATTTAAAATTTTAACCCAACATCAACTTTCACTTTTAATTGTAATTTTTTTTATTGCATTTTTTTTTATTGCACCCAGCATTTTTTTAAAGTGTATATATTGACTTCGTCTAAGAAAGAAAATGAAATTGCTTAATATCTCACATTCTAAAAAAATGCTGGGTTAATTCAACCCAAATTTGGGTCAAATATGGACAAACCCAAATGTTGGGTTAAAAATGTAATTTAAATTTTTAACCCAACTTCAACTTTCACTGTAATTTTTTTAATTTACATTTTTAATTTAATCAACATTTGGGTTTGTCCATATTTGACCCAAATTTAGGTTCAAACAACCCAGCATTTTTTAGAGTGCAGCCAGGCACAAAAAAAACCCAATAAAACAATGTGCTAATGTTTTATGCAATTCATTTTAGAAGCCAAAAACTACATGTTCAACATTGCAGGGCTTGTGGAAAGTTTTCTGTAATTTTTGAAGGAATAGTTTACCCCAAAATAAAAATTTTTTTGTAACTCTTTTTTTTTTCTCCATACACTCTAAAAAATTCTGGGTTGTTTTAACCCAATTTTGGGTCAAATATGGACAAACCAAGCCATTGGGTTACATTTTTAAATGTCATTTTTAACCCAATGTTTGAGTTTGTCCATATTTGACCCAAAATTGGGTTAAACAACCCAGCATTTTTTTAGAGTGTACAAGGGTTAACTCACGCCTTTGGTTCAAACAGAAGTTGAACCACTCAAACAATACAGTAGCGTTCAAAGGTTTAATTTTAAACTTTTGTTAATATATTTTCAAATGTAATTTATTCCTGTGATTCAAAGCTGAATTTTCAGCATCATTACTCCAGTCTTTAGTGTCACATGATCCATCAGAAATCATCATAAAATGATGATTTGCTGCTCAAGAAACATTTCTGATTATTATCGATGTTGAAAACATGTTGTGCTGCTTCATATTTTTGTGTAAACCAGAATTCTTTGATGCGCATAAAGTTCTAAAGAACAGCATTTATTTAAAATAGAAATATTTTGTAACATCAAAGATGTCTTTACTATTAATTTGTCCTTGCTTAAAAACAAAAAAAAGATACTGATCCAAACGTTTGAACAGTAGTGTATCTTGAAAGTTGTATAGAGCCATAGTGTTTATACTTCTAGTCGTCTCACTCATAAGTATAGGAATGGACAAAGTATTTTAGTAATGTGGTGTATTTAATTTGCACGATAAACTGAACTTTAAGACTGTTTACTGGTTTTTTTTATGGTCCTTGCGGAAAACACATTTTTGTTCAACTTTTATTTCAAACCAGAGCAGTACAGATAAACAAAACCACGCATCACTGACCCGCTCTGCATTAGTCATTAGATCTGTACATTCTTCCCGCCCTCCAGAGGATGTATGGCTGGTTTTGAAGGACAATACTATAGTTTACAGTCCTTTACATTGGCCTACATATCCTGTTTGAAGTCCTACCCAAACCTGCAGGAACTCTGGAAGCCGAGCAACACACACATATGGCTTCTGTATTTAGCAGTTCAGCTTTTGTTTTCACAATGCCCCCTGACACCAAAGCTCACGTTTCTGCTGTGAGGAGCAGATGAGGAGAGAAAAGGCTTACAAAAAACAGAGATGGATTGAAATGTGCTTGTGTAAAGTACTTTGGCAGTAAAATGAAATGGGGATTGTATTATATTTTTAATGTGTGTGCATATACTGTGAATATATATATATATGGACGCTAGCGACTTAATCTAGTAATCGACGTAATCCAATATCTAGTGACACTGATATATCCCTAGCAATAATTTCGATCAAAACTATATTATTTATATGCTGATGTCCTCCCGTCACCACCAATTTTAAAATCAAACCAAACCACTGATATATATATATATATATATATATATATATATATATATATATAAATATAGGGCTGTGAAAAGATTAATCGTGATGAATCATATCCAAAATAAAAGTTTGTTTACATAATATATGTGTAGTATGTGCATAATATATGCAGTGTATATAATTATTCTGTATATATACATATACACACACATGCATGTACAGTAGTCCTATATATTTAAGAAAAATGTTTATATAAAAAAATATTTTTATTTCTATATAATATAAATTATATATATACTGTATATACATGCAAATATTTTTTAAATATATACATGCATGTGTGTGTATTTATACAAAATAATTATACACACTACACACAAATATAATGTGAACACAAACTTTTATTTTGGATGCAATTTAATCGTTTCACAGCCCGAATATATAAAATATATATATATATATATGTATATATATATATATATT